TTTAATCTTTGAATGAAAGTTTTTTATATAATAGATCGAAAATTCAAAATTACAAAATAGTAATTAAATCAACATTACAAAAAAGTCTAATGTTTATAAAGTTCTGGAATACTAATTATTTATCTTTATTAGCCAAACGTTTAGCTACACTTGTATCAAAAAAGGCTAACAACCTATCATATTTAGAAGAAATCTTTTTAGAACCTAATTGAACATTTCTTGATTGAAGAATTGGAACACGAGCACCTTGATCATTTCTTTGAACTGTGGGAGGAGTAACTTGAACATTCTGAACAGGAAATCCTTGATCATTTATTTGAACCGTAGGAGAAATAACTTGAACATTTGTTGATTGAACATTCCTGGAGTTGGATATGATCATTTCTGGATTGGTGTTTGAACAATTCTGAGTTTGATTTTGAACATTCCTGGGAACAGTAGGTTGAATAACAACAGGAGATTTTGTTGACGCACTAGTATGAATTGGAACTCTTGGATTAATTTGAGAGTAAGTTTTAACACCAGAAGCACCTTCATTTGCACCAAAATTAGAACAAGGTTGAACAGCAGAAACACCTTCAAGATTTAAATCCTTCGCCTTTAAAAAAATTAAATTGATCATTAATAAACCAGTATATGATCAGTTACAAACACTTATACAAACAAATATGGAAAAAAAAAAACCTTAGCAATAGATGAAATATCAACATCAATAGATATGATAGATGAAAGAGAGCTTTCACCAGTAGCCTACAAAAAAACCAAAAAAAAATATAAAAAATAAAAAATTAAATAAAAAAAAATTATAATATAGATCATAAATGTTCATATACCTGATCAAAATCATTGGAAATACTATGATTTGATTCCTTAGAACTAGAAGGAATTTCTTCTACAACAGCTGATTTTAAGCCGACCTATATTTTTAAATTATAAAAATCAATATTAATAAAATATAAATAAAATGTTTTTTTTGGCACATTTGAATTTACCTGAGCCCGTTTATTGCTCAAAACAATCAATTCAATGGGATCACTAATAGAATTAGCATAAGTAACAGCACAACCGTTCTCATCAAGTTCCTATTTAAAAAAAAAAACATAAATGATCATTTACGAAAACTGAAATGATCAATTTGAAAATATGAAATGATCATATACCTGTACAACTGCTTGCCCTATACCCCTTTTGTAAGGAGTGTACAGAGACTTTTTCCTCTTGAAATTACCCTTTGCCTTGTTACACTGCTTCTCCAAGGTACTCTTAGGCCTTACATTCCTCTCACCTTTAGGCCTAGCTTTTGGAGGATTCTTGATCTCAAGATCAACAATTTCAACCTCTTTAACAGGTTCACTAAAGTCAATTACACCTGATACACTCTCAACCTTTTCTTTTAACAGATTGAAATAACACTCAACCTCTGCCCTTGCATTCAAAGAATTCTGACAACTTGTTATCAACTTAACAAACTTTCTGATTGTTTGTGACCTCCAAACACTAGTAGCCACAACATTTGTCCTCAAAGTAGGTTCTTCAATACCATGACTACACATGGCAGCCTTTGTCCATCGTTTCATTATATACTCTTGTGGAATATTACGCACACAATGCAAATGATATACTCGAAGAGAATGAGAACAAAGTAAACCAGTCTCACTAAAGTACATGCATGTGCAACAAATTGCATGTGTTTCCTTATTAAAAACAACTTCATGCTTAATTATATCCTTCCCAGGCCTCCAAAGAAGATATGAATATTCTGGAAAACGCAAACCATTATCAACATGATCATAAGCTGTCCCCCTAATGAACTCCTCTTCAAAAAGAACATAAGCTTGAATAGTGTACAATGATCTTGCATGAACTAATATACCAATATTAGCAAAAGCTAGGTGCCTATTACCCCTCAGAGTATTGTAATCTCTTGCACCTTCCTTACTTCTCCACTCAGAAATGACATCAAGAAAAACATGATAAAAATCACATAAACCTTGAGTCTTATTAAGACGTTGTGAAACTGACTTATTAGTAGTTTCACTACGTTGAGAAGACAATATACCACCAGACCAATACTTCTTAGAATAAGCAGGACACCACATTTCCTTTATTTTATACAAATCACATAACCAATCATCATTTTCACATTTGTATTTATCACACATCCTGTATAACAGAAATGATCATATATTAATTTAAAAATGAACAAAATATAAATTAAAATATGTACATTTGTGTAAAGAATAATGATCATAAACAATATGGACACTAATAATATTATGATAACATACATAACAAAGTAAATTGTATGATCATATGTAAAACACTAAATGTTCATATATATATCACATAATAATCAAATATATCACATAATAAAAATAAAAAATAAATATAAAAAACAATAATTTACCTTTTCCAGAAATATTCAAATTCAGCAGGAGTTTCACAATACTTCAAAAGATATCCAAACAAATCTGTAAAGCCTTCCAAAGCTCTCAATGCTCCAATGTGTTTCTTAGAATTTTGTTCAAGATGCCATACACATAAACGATGATGAACAGTTGAAGGAAAAATGTTTCTTATACCCGCTGCAATCGCTTGTGCTTGATCAGTCATAATTGTAATGGGACTTTTCCTCCCCATTGAGTGCAAAAATGTATCAAACAACCAATCAAAAGACTCGGTGCGCTCATTAAGAATAAAACCCATACCAAACATGACATTGTTACCATGATGGTTTATCCCAACAAATGGAGCACATATCATTCCATATTTATTAGTTCTATAAGTTGTATCAAAAACCAACAAATCTCCAAAGTAATGATAATCTCTCATCATCCTACCATCACGCCAAAAAAAACTAACTAAAGCACCACTATCATCTTGTTCAAAATCATAATAAAAATCTGTCTCATCCACATGTCTCTTGGCAAAATATTTAATCAATTGGTTACCATCACATCCTTCAATTTGGGCAGCTTTTTCAGATGACAATGCATTATAAGCATCAGAAGCAGTAAAACAAAGATTAGGAGATCCCCCAACCTCCTTCTTTAGAACCCTCAAAGAATCAGTAACTTTGACTCCACTCAATTTCATTGTTGAAATGAAAAGAAGCTGCTCTTTATTCACATCTCTTTGAGACCTTATCAAATGCCTTTTTTCAGGAGGAATCATAGCATGATTATGAACCATTTCATGTCTTGTACATGTATAGACCCCTAAATGATCAATATGAAACTGCACAAAAGCTAAACAACCAGTTCGATGATCCAACTTCTCATAAATCCTTTTATTCTTACACTTATTATCTTTGAATCCCTCATTACAACAAACAAATCTTTTCATCAAAAAAGAATCATCTCTTCTTCTCTTACTCTTCCCAATTCGAATTCCAAAACCTTTCCTAAAAGCATATTCATTATACGCTTCGAAAGCTTCATCTTCAGATTTAAATTCTTTATCCTTTAATTCAGACTGTTCTGCTTCTAAATACATAATATCATCATTTTTTTCCACTGCACAATATACAATTATAAATGATCATAAAGAGTTTCATGAATGAACAATAACAAATAAGTAAAATGTTCAATATCAAAACAGCACATGATCAATTGCAAAAAGAATTTCAGCACATAATATTTTGAACAATATTTTCATTATTTACCACTACACATAATATCGATATAAAAATGTAAAAATAAATGATCAAAAATGACTTTAAGACTGAACATAAACACATTAGTAACAATGAATAAGAAAACATAAACGATTAATTGAAAGTATAATCTACAAAATATACGACAAAAACACACAATTCTAAAACACAGAGAAAACAACAAATGAAACAACAAATGAAGCAACAAAATGTTCATACAAAGTACAACAATCCAAAAACGTTCATCATAATGTAATCAAAGTAGTAAATTCAAAAATCGAAAGTGAATAATAATACATCAATTAAGTTCAAATTAACAGAGCATTATAACAGAACAAATTAGGGATAATTAAAAATTGAAAAATTATGATCACAATTACTCACATTGTTGCACAAACGAATCAACGAAACGAAGTCCAGAAGGAAACACACGCTCGCAATCGCGATCAAAATCAACGCAATCTCCAGATGCAGAATTCGCCATTGATGATCGGTAACAATTAACGAATTCGTTCAAAAAATCAAATGAAGAAGATGAATTAGCGAGAGAAAAATGTAGATCAAAAATGGAGGTTGGTTGATCAATTGAAGAGAGAGAAAAAATAGGGTTTAAAATCATATATATACATAAATTGAATAATAAGAATCAAAGGAAAAAGGAAAAAAGAGGAAGAAAAGAAAAAAAGAAAAAAAGGAAAAAAAAAAAAAAAAGGAAAGAATCGCAAAAGGAAAGAAGCTGCACATGAGAACTCAATACCAGCTACAAAACGACGTAGCATAGGGGGGGTGTAGGGAACACACCCTACACTAGGGTGTAGGGTAAAATTTTCACCTAAGAGGTTAAGATGCCACACAATCCAAAAATAGTGAAGCAAAAAAAAAAAAAATGTTCCCTTTGTTTTATTTTGGTCGGATCAATTTAATTTAGTTTGGGTCATCCATTATTGGAAAAATTCAGTGTTGGATCAAGTTATTTCATGGCGATTTTTGTTGGTTTTGTCAAGTCTATCTATCATTTATAAAGTGGACAATATTTTACAAAATGTTGCATATACTTACTCTTTTGTTTAAATAACTACAACAACTTCTCATTTTATGCTTGTAAATTAAAAAAATAAAATTACAAATATCTTAATTACTCTGTACTAAGTAAAATTTTAAAAAAAAAGTTAAATCAAGATTTCATATGACTACATTTTTTCTTAAATATTAATTATCATAGACTCATAATTAGGCAAAGTAACTTATGTGAATAGTACATAAGCTAAAGTGTTTCAAATAAAAGAGACGAAGGAAGTAGAATCTTCCTGTTGGTCACTCTAATCTATATCAATGTTACATTCAGGCATGTACAGAGATGATACTGCCAACAGACGGAAACAACAAAGAGAGCATATTCCCCGCTTCCAACTACAGCTACAATGACCGAGAATCCTACTGCACCTCTCTTTATGGTGTTCAACCTCGCCCTCACTGGATCACTACTGAATTTGGTGGAACTGTGAGTCTACCACCTTCTACTTATATACGAGTACTACCTCTGTTTTGTATTATGTGCAACAAAGAAATATTTTACAGAAATATTTTACTTTTTTCACAAATAATACTTCAATGTTGCATAAATAAGAAACGAAGGTAGTACTTTATACATAAAGTACAATAATCTCTAACTCCTTAAATTCCGACCGTAATATATGAAGTATCAGCCAATATGTAGTTAATACTCCCTTCGTTCCTAACTCACTAGTAATAATAAGCCTATAACAATTGATATTTGGTATTTAAAGAGTCACGTATCATTGATTGTGGTGCATTTTAAGGTACATATGTGTTTGGGGTAAAAATACCCTAAACACGTGGCCCAATGGCCTAGTGACACGTGGCATCCAGCCGTTGGTCAGCAGGGCTCCAATCCTCTGCTGACACGTGTCCTCTAAACCCTAAAAGGGGAACCATCCCTTCCCCACTATAAATAGTGGAAGGACCCTCATTAATGGGGGTTGGAACATTTGTGGTTCACATTGAATACTCCTCAAAAAGAAAAACACTTACCCCGAGCAATATTAATTGCAGAATTCTCCCATTACGCGAGAAGTAACTTCTACATTACGTGCATTCTACCTCCCATATCTTTACTAACTTGATCGTCGGAGGCGGAGCTCCTACCCCCAGGAGTCTTCGTGATTTTGCAGGCACAGGCGTCGAAGGGCATTCTTGGAATTGTAACTCTCCCGCAGGACACATCAAAAAACCCCGAAACATTTGGCGCCGTCTGTGGGGAGAGTACTTCTAAGATGACTTCTGATACTGTGTCACCGAATCAAGGCAAACAGCCTGTGGTCGAGCCTGAGGTCCAGACGGACCATGAAAGTGGCGACGAAATTGAAACATATGTGGCCCCGGATGGGTCCTTCAGAACGAAGCACCCTCGTGCTAAAGATAGAAGAGAACGGGAAATCAGCCAAGTTGCTCTCAGCAACCCAGCCGGTCAACCGGCTGGAATTGCCCAAACGGTGGAGGGCTCAGCCCCCGTTACAAGAAACGAACTCATGTCTTTCATGAATAGTTTCAAGGGTGAGATCAAGAGCCTCATCCGGTCAGCTACTCCAAAGAAGGGTCAGCCGGCCAAGAAGCCTTCTGGAAAGAAGGCGGTCAAAGAACGAGTTCCTACCCCTCATCCCAAGCCAAAGGAGGGGGAGGGCTTAAGGTTTGATCCAAGCAAACTCCGTTTTCCTTAAGGGGAGCTGCGAAAGGCCATCCGGCATGTACAGCCGGATGGCTCCAAGAAAACATTCTCAAACGCCCGCACATTTCTCCAAGAGAAGCGAGGTTAGGCGTCTGCTTCGGCCTCAACGTCGACCTTCCCGGACAGTTTCCATGACGTCTCACACAGGCGTACGGGAACGAACCTTGGGAGCCAGACGGGCGAAGCTTCTGCCCGGTCTGGACCCAAAGTGATCCAGCCTGGCCTATTCGGCACACCGAATGGGTTGGGTGGATCCCCTTTTATGTCACTGGGTCTTTTCGGTGGGCAAGCGCAGCAGCCGTTCCAACCCACGGACTGGCAGCTGCGCCTGCTAAATTTGGGGGAACAGCCAACGGCGTTCTCACCAGTGATAACCCAGGCGGCACAGCCGCCTAAGATCAAGAATGTTTTGGTGGGGGCCTATGACAGCACCACCAACCCAGAAGACCATCTAATGGCCTACTCTAACCTCATGTACCTCCAAGGGTTAGATGATGCCGTCTGGTGTCGATGCTTCCCGGCTACCCTCAAGGGCATAGCCCAGCGGTGGTTTGGTAACCTACCAGCCGGTTGCATCAACAGCTTTCGAACTTTGGCGTACTTGTTTACGTCAAATTTCTCAATGAATATTCCTGCCAAAAAGACTAGCCTCGACCTAGGGGCAATACAGCAGGGCGACCGGGAGGGCCTCCGGTCGTACGTCAGACGGTTCAATCTGATGAGAATTAAGATTCCAGGACTATCAGACGAAGTGGCCTATACATACTTCTTTCGAGGTCTGAAGGATGGGTCGACCTTTAAGTTTGACCTCGTCCGGAAGAGGGTTGCTACCCTCCAAGAGGCGTTAATTGAAGCTGAAGCCTATATACAGGCGACGAAGCTTTGTGCTGTCAAGCAGCCGTCAGATAATAAAAAGTCTGACATAAAAGAGAGCCGGCAACAGCATCAGCCGGCAAGAAAGGAAGAAAAGAGAAAAGGGGTCTGGGCAGCTGACCGATCAGGACATCCGGCCCAGAAGATCAGGCGGAAGCCAGAACCATATGTCCCCAAATACGAGTTCACAAAAGATTGCTCCACCATCCTCCTGGAAATCAAAGACCGGATGTCTCTCGACAAACCGGCTGAAATGAAAAGCCCCGTGAATAAACGGGACAAGAGCAAGTATTGCCAATACCACGAGGATGTTGGCCACGACACCAATGGCTGCTATAGCCTCAGGCGGCTATTGGACCGGCTGGCAGATGAGGGGGCCCTAAAATCCTACCTACCCAAGGCTAAGGGTAATACCCAGGCCAAGAAAGGGCAGGCGGCAAAAACCGGCCCAGTAAACTCCGAGACGGATGAAGAGACCATCTTCACCATAGCAGGTGGTTTTGCCGGAGGGGGTCCCACCATCCGGGGCACCAAAGACAACATCAGGAAGCTGGTCAACTCAGTGGATGAGGGCCAGGCGTCGAAAGACATCTTCCCTGAGGTCCTTATTTCTGAAAAGGACCGGGGCAAGGTCAGGCGGCCTCATGATGACCCCATCGTCATCGAATGCAAGGTTGCCAACCAGAAGGTTGGCCGGATCCTAATAGACACCGGGAGCTCGTCTGACCTAATCAGTTATCAGTGCTTGACCAAGCTCAAGTACACATCCGGTAACATGCACCAGGCTCCTCACCCACTAGTCGGTTTTGGGGGTGGAGTAGTGCATCCGGTCGGAAGCATAGATCTTCCGATCCGGCTGGGTGAAAAGGGGCAAGGACGCCACATGATAGTCAAGTTTTTAGTTGTGGAGGAGTTGTCCGCCTACAACATGATATTTGGTCGTCCTACCCTCAACGCATCTAAGGCTGTCATCATCCCGTCCCTCATGTTGGTCAAATTTCAGAAGGATGATGGTACAGTCGGTGCCCTAAGCGGGGACCAGAAGACGGCAAGAGAGTGCTATCTCTCTGACGTCAAGACAACTGTGGGTGCAGTCGGCCAGGGCGAGCCCATAGATATTGATAACTGCGACCCAGCAGTCCCGGCTCCAAGGGCAGCCGGTATGAAAAGAAAGGCGGACCAACTGGCACCCGTCAAAAAGGAGAAATAGCAATCACTAGCCGGGGAAAGGTCAAATGACCAACGACCTCAGCCGGCTGGTGACTGCCTTGATGTCATCCTAGATGACAGCCGTCCTGAAAGAACAGTCAAGGTCGGGACGGTAGCCTTCGAACGGTTGGGAGAAGGCTTGCTCCAGCTGCTGAAGGAATTCAAAGACATCTTTGCCTTTGAAGTGGAAGAGATGCCAGGCGTCAGCCCGGATCTTGCTGTCCACAAGCTAGCCGTAGATCCCAAAAAGCAGCCGGTTAGGCAGAAAAAGAGGGATCATGGTGGAGAAAGATCTCAAGCGGCGGCGGCTGAGGTCAAAAAGCTGTTGGATGCTGGGTTCATTAGGCAATGCTACTACCCGGATTGGGTGGCAAATGTCGTTCTAGTAAAGAAGCCGAACGGCACTTGGCGGATGTGTGTGGATTACACAGATCTGAACAAAGCATGCCCAAAAGATAGCTACCCGCTTCCAAAGATTGACAGCCTAGTCGACTCAACAGCCGGCCATGCGTTAATGAGCTTTATGGATGCTTATTCCGGCTTCCATCAAATACCTCTCTGGAAGAAAGATCAGGAGAAGACGGCTTTTGTCACTGATCAGGGGTTATTCTGCTATACGGTGATGCCGTTTGGGTTGAAGAATGCACCGGCTACATTCCAGCGCATGATAAACACCGTTTTTATCAACCAGATTGGCAGGAATGTAGAGGCGTATATCGATGACATGATAGTCAAATCCAAGCTACAGACGGATCACCTAGCAGACCTGCGAGAAACCTTCACCACACTCAGGCGGCACCTGGTCATGCTTAACCCAAAGAAATGCGTATTTGGTGTTGAGTCTGGGAAGTTTCTCGGATTCTTGATTGACCAAAGAGGCATCGAAGCTAATCCGGAAAAAATACAGGCGGTAATTGACATGAAGTCTCCCCGCACTGTAAAAGAGGTCCAGAAGTTGACCGGTTGTCTGGCGGCATTGGGGAGGTTCCTCAGCCGGTCAGGTGACAAGTGCCTCTATTTCTTCCAGGCAATCAGGAAGAGGTCAAGGTTTGAATGGGGTGAAGAAGCAGAGGCGGCATTCCAGAGGCTTAAGCAGCACTTGCATTCTTTGCCAAGGCTAGTGAGCCCCCTACCCCGGGAGGTTCTGTACATGTACCTAGCCGTCTCTGATCACGCCCTTAGTGCCGTTCTCCTCGCTGAGAGAGACGGCATTCAGCTGCCGGTGTACTTCATCAGCCATGTCCTTAAAAATGCTGAGCTCCGGTACCCCATGATCGAAAAATTTGGGTTGGCCTTATTCGTAGCAGTCAAGCGGTTGAAGCCTTATTTTTTGGCACATCCGGTTGTGGTATACACAGATCAGCCGCTCAAGCGTACGATGACTGCTATAGAGTCATCCGGTAGAATGATCAAGTGGGCTGTTGAAATACAAGGCCTTGAGATAACTTTTGAACCCAGGCGGGCAGTGAAAGGTCAGGCGTTTGCCGACTTTATTGTCGAGATGACTAGGCCGGTGCACCCAGAAAACCCTGATCAGGTCTGGAAGTTATTTGTAGACGACAGCTCTACGGTGAACAGCTGTGGTGCAGGTGTTATCTGTCATTCCCCGGAAGGGGATAAGTTTGAATATGCACTACGGTTTAAGTTCCAAGCCTCCAACAATGAGGCAGAGT